CTCCTGCCGGCAATGGCTCCAAATCCGCCTCATTTCCCTGTGGCAGTGCGATGGCTGGGGGCAGGGAGCGCTGCCCGGGGAGGGCTGTTGGCAGAACAAGGTGGCACTGTTGCGGCGCAGCTGCCGGCAGTGCGGGCTCGGCGCCTCGCAGCCAGCGGAGCGGGGCGCAGCGGGCGCGCAGCCCGGGACAGCCCCGCGCCGGGTCTGGGGGAGAGGGGGCAGTGGGACACTGTGGTGCCCCTGTATCCAGCCGAGGGCTTTTTTGGGGAAACGATGGCGTTCTCAAGAACCTCTTCAAACTTTCCCTTCAGCTGGAGCCGCGGATCCTGGCTGCAGGGTGGCGGGAACCGGCCCGGCCTTGCCCCAGGTGCGCAGTCCTGGCTGCTCCGCATATCCTGCAATCACCGGGCTACAGGAAATCCCTGTCTTGCTCAGCGCATAGTTCTCAAACTAAAACAACTCGCACTAAAATAAAACTGATCTTGTCTTTTAATCTCTCTGGTTAACCAGCCCTTCTAACTGTATCTTCCCCTCCCAGCTACCTTTACTGAAGTTCCCAAAGATGTGACTGTTAGGGAGGGAGATGATATTGAGATGCCTTGTGCTTTCCGAGCCAGCGGATCCACCTCCTACTCCTTGGAAATCCAGTGGTGGTACCTTAAAGAACCCGACAGAGAACTTGCACATGAATTAGCCATCAGTGTCCCTGGCAGCAGGAGCAAGGTAATACAGTGCTATGCAGATACATCAGTTAATTAAGTGCAACATGCTCTGAAGGTGATCAGAATAAACCCAGCAGGCCCAGGAGAGTGCTTCTACCCCGTGCTGGTGAGCTGTCAGATGCAGCAGAGTACCTGAGCCCTCCTGGGGTGTAGGAGGACAGGGCATGCACCACGGGGGACTTCACTAGAAAATTACAGATGTCCTGCTACAAAACCAGCAATGAGGACTCAAAAGAGGCCTTCAGAAATAGCTGTGGTATGAGGTGGGGACAAGCAAAAACCAGTGCTTCTGTGAGCTGAGCTAGGTATTGTAAAAGGTGGGAGAGCCTCAGTTTGCTCACTGATAGCGCAGAGAAAGGCACAAGGGATACACATTTTTCTGTTGGTATGTTAAGTACATATCTGCATACACAAATGCACACAATTTCTTGGGGTTCATATACACACCTGTGTGTGCATCTGCAGCTCAGCAAGACATTTTCAGACAGACAGATGTAGTAATTAAAATGCATAAAGCAGAGTTAAATCCTGCGTGTCCATTCCCCTCCCCCTAGCAAGCCGTCTGGCCTGGAGAGGGGCTGTAGTCGAAATTTTTCAGCTGTGCTTCCCCAGCATAAGCCAGTTCATTCTGCAGACCTTCTCCCAGGGCAGGACACCTTGCTGGTGCCAAATGAGGCTGTACAAGGAGTGGGCTAAAGCAGGATTTCCAAACTGTGTTGCCATACTGTGCACGGGGCACATCATCCTTTCCAGCCCCAGGCCCCTGTGCCAGCAGGGTGCCCTGCAGCAGCCTCGGTGCCAGCTCCCATCTCTGTGGCACACTTGTTTTCCTGCAGAGCTCAAATAGAGATGCAGAGCATATAGACACTGAGCTAATGCGATGCCGCCTAGCTGGGGAAAGTGTAAGTCAGTTGTCAGACAGGGAAATAAATCGCTTGGATTTAAATGTCTTCTTTAACCTTATATAAAAACCGTGAGTTGCTTTTACAGTAAATGATGACAGGGCAAGCCTGCAGAATGATGACCATCTCCCTGGGAGGCACATCAGTAACATTTGAGGCATCACTTAGGTTTAAAGGAGTTGGCTGGAGACAAAAAAATAGCCAAGTATGAAACCAGCTGAGCGATACCGGCTCCCAGGATGTTTCGGGACTGAAGCTCTGCCCTGAGCAGTGTGGAATCCAGCATGGCCAACAATTTCAGTGCTGTGCTAATGCTGCTGGTAAAACATCTTCCTTGGTGTATGTTAGTGACTGTGAGCAGCACAGCATACAACAAGCAGTTATTTGGCTGCTGCTCACAGCCTTGGTTGAAGGCAGCACCTACCTGAGCACCAAAGGAGCTTTACCAGAACAGTCTCCCTAAGCTGGGCACTGATTTACTGCCTTCCCCATCACCTGGGGAACTAACTCCTCCCAGCCACACACAGGCTGTGTGAATGGCAAGTGCAAAACGGTGCATCTGTCCATGTGGTGTCCTTTCCCTGGGGTGGGAATATGGGCATTTAGTTGATATGCTAGCAGAGCTGAACCTAATCTCCTTTTTTCTATTCTTTTAGGTAACAATGAAGGATGCAACCAAAATCAGTGTAAGTGCAGCTCGAGCTGGGTGGCACCCACCTCTTGTACACGTGGGATTTACTGTGCTTCCCTCCTTTCCTAGCACACAAATGCAACTGGTCTCAATGGCAGTCCCGCCGGGAGTGTGGCAGGTTTCACCTCTTGGGTGTGTCGTGGCTGGGTCAAAACTTTACCCTTTGTTGCTAGTTTAGCAGTCATGTCTCATTCCTCACAAATCAAGAGGAGGTGATGTTTGTCCTACAGCCCTTCCTTAGCCACTTGGAAAAGGACTGTGGGCCAGATTAGGAAAGAAGTTTCATTTATTTTTTTTTTTCCTTGCCGTGTGCAAACCCCAGTCTTCCCTCCCAGTCCTGCCGGAAACAAGCCCCTTTCCCATTGATGCGGGCCCGTGAATGGCTCCAGGCCGGCAGGGCG